ATCCAAAAACTCGTCGTCTATGATATAACAAAAAATAGACTCCACAGTGGAATGACTTTCAACATCGACACCTAAACGTTCTTCAGCAGTAAATAGTAAACGTTGTAGATCACGAACGGTATAACTCCATCCGTTGTTCATATCTTTAGTTTTAAAAATGTTCACGTGGATCACTTCGAAGGCTATTTTGAGAAGAAAGTTCACTACTTACTGAAACTGCAGACACCGACGGCACCTGATTTTCGATGGGATTTGGTGACTGTGCAATATTCATAGGAATGTCATCAAAATCTCTGGTCTGAATCATTTTGCGGTAAAAGTAATTCCTCGTCAACGTGCATTTGTTGGGGCTGACTATATTGAATGAATATATTTATATTTTCCAATGTTTCATTATCAGAACTTCCTGAATCATGTCGATTATCTTGAGGCACTTCATAATCAGATCATCTTCATCACTAGCGTGGAATGGATGTAATGACGAATCACTGCAATAATCTAATTCTTCGTCACTGTTTTCTAAATAACGTAAAATATCTTCGTCATTTGTTCTGCGAGACATCTTTCGTTTTTATTTAAACAATTTTATTAAAAAATTTAAACAGCTGATTGCTATAGATTAATAACAAAATGTACTATAGATTAAAAATAACCCCACAGATTAAAATTAAAAATGGGTCACATGTGGGACCTTGGACTCCTGATGCTAATTACTCGTCCCAATCAGCCCAGGGAGTTCAGGGATCCACATGCGGTACCCAGCACATACTATATATAATTGCTTGGACGTAGCGGGAAATTTGTAATAACTGCTTGGACAGTGAACACTTTCACTTTTGGCACACAATTGGCCTTCAGTACATTTATTTTCTATTGTTTATACATTTATAAATAGCTGTAAGTTCTCCTAAAAATAAATAAAAAGTAAGGTCAGAAAGATCACTACATAAATGCCCGCTAAATCTAATTGTTCATAATTTCGTACGCGGTTTGCGCGATACATATTTAGCGAATGTGAAATAAAAATGCGTATTAAATATAGAACGTGTTTAATGAGTAAATGCCAATAAGCTTAGTGCACGGTACGCGTGTTCGTATTCGCGGTACAGTGGACGGTAACATTGTTCTCGCGGCCGCTGCACTACAACTATGTACAAATTATCCTTAATGCAGTTTGCACACTAATATCATTCTGTTTTGAAAAATAAAATTTACTTTACATTTTCTTGGATATCTTAATTGCATATTTTCCTAAACATTACCGTATTTGAACGGTTATGTTTAGGAAAACATATTATATTATATACTACGTAGAGACGCCCCGATATCGACAGTTCGAATGTTTTTCTACATGCATAAGGTCTTGGTTCTTACAACCAAAAAAAGAGTTAAATTTGTGTGGACGTGTGTATACAAAAATAAATACCACTAACCTAATATCAAGGAGCAGAACACGGTGCTTAGTGTAAATCGATTAGTAAATTGAAATTTTTTAGGTTAAAGCTTAAGGACACTATCATACATTGATACATATAAGACTATCACAATATCAAAATTCATTTAATTAAGTACATTGACAGATGTCCTCGGGGACAACATGAAGCATCTATAATACTCACATTAAAATATGGAATCTAAAGGGACACATTGAGCAAGTCGTGGAGGAAATTCGTCCAGATAATACTGGGTGTGGTATAAAGAGATAAAAAGTTAAGTACACTTCGACGACCGGTTCAACTAAATTATCCATACAATAACTATACAATTGCTCTAAATATACTTACAGCTACGTACAGACACCGGTCGAGTTATCTTATTGTTTACATACATGTAATATACAGACTTGTTTGTAAGGCACGGGCGACTCGCCACCGTCTGCGGCATCCTCTCCGCTCAACTCTGCACAACACAACTTTACCGAGTTCTACCGAACTTTACCAAATTTTAGCGAGCTTTATCAAATTTTACCGAACTCTACCAATTTTTTTAGAACTCTACCAAGTTCTACCTGCAGAGGCAGAGCGCTCGGATGACGCGACGCATTGCGGTCGAGTGACGCCTTCACTATAGTTAATTTAGAATCTTGCACGCTTTATTATTCATATATTACAAAATTCACTTATATTAAGTCACCGGTAGCTCGGAGTAGAGCACCTTTACAATATCTTAAATATAATTACATATAATATAATGTTATTATTTAATACTTATTTCTAAGTGTTGGAAACCAGTTAGATTTTGATGTACCTACAACGGGAATGCAAAAAGTTGCTCCCTCATACATCAAATCCACCGACATTCCGATTACTTTAAGCAAAATAAAAAACATTTTTTAAAATCGATATGAAAAAAAATAATTTTACATATATATAGCCACTAAACAATATTTAAAGACTTGTTTTGTTTAGATTTTAAATAAATTAACGAAAATTATTTCAGCAAATTAAGAAAATGCAAGTGAATTTGTTAACACGTCGCTAAAGCTTAGATAAACAATAAATTCCAAGTGTTGTATGGACTTGTTCAACATTCAGATGGTTTGATTGCTGATTCATGAAATTAAATATTACGGAAGAAGTGAAAATATATACTGCGTAAAACTTATCGGTAATCTATACAATAGTAAATTCAATTTGATAATTTCGTGTCGGTAACAAGCAACAACAGCTAGCCAAAAGAATAATATTTAAAAATGAAAATGAAGTTAAAACATACAGAAAATAGTTATGTGAGTGATAATACATATGCGTATTTTATAAAAAACTAGTACCATTTAAGACAATATTTTCAGGCTAGTGGTATTGGCTTGCTCACGCATACATACGGAAGAGTAATTTTGTTTAGTATACAAAACATTATTCCAAGTTTATTATGTAAATAGCTTCTACAACGAAGGAAAAATTCCTAATATGATGGTAACTTTTCTAAAAGAAATGTCTGATTTTGTCGCAACATAAAGAACTTTCAGACATCTTTGATTTTTTTTCTGTTGCCTCGTCCAACATACTCTTAAATCTATTTATTTTATATTTAAGTACATGTCATTAGGTGCATTACATTTTCTTACAATTTGAAATGCACCCTTATATTATAAACACAGTATCAATATTGATAACAAGTTACATCATCCAGCAAGGTACTACAATGTGTATACACAAACTAAAACTGATACATAGACTAATACATTACAAGTCGTCTATATAAATAGAATTTCATTTACCTAATAATACAATATAATTCATTTATTATTATATCTATTGCCTTGTCCTATTACAATGCGTATAAAAATCCTACAACAAGTGACAACTTGCCTACCGAGGTATCACCGCGCCGCATATTCTCACTTAAATATTATTACATAAGTATAAAAATTTTGTTGTAAAATCACCATTGATTTGATATATTTAAATCAAGTTAAACTTTACACATCATTCATAATTTAAGTATAAATGAGCACAC